CTCTCTCTCTCTCTCTCTCTGTCTGTATGGTTTTGACTTCAGTATCTTTAGTTTTGGTCACGGGTTAAATCATAATCTTTCAGATCACAGCCGTCTTTTAAATATGTATCGGTCTATGGGTCAAAGGGTGTGATTCACGATGTGAGATTATCATCACTCTAAAATTACCGACTTGTGTTTTTCAAAAAGAAACTACTGACTTCTGATTCACACGTCAAGCACTGATTGAACAACAGTTTTTATTTTTTTTGTATCTTTCTGTCTAAAGCAGGTAAATGCTTCGTGTCACTTACTAGATCTTGATTTTTACAGACTGGCTCACTGTGGCAGTGCAGTGTTTTGTAAACTCTTTTCTCTTTAATTAAATTATAATCCTATGCTTATTGATTGGATAAAATAGAGTAATTGGTAATTATAATAATTGCATATATATTATATTGTGTAATGTTATGTTACATTAGAGTACATTATATTTGCTCCTCGCTTTTGATTGGCTGAGTGGCCTTCCAAGTGTTTCCAAGTTTTTCTTTTATCTTTCTGTTCCTTTCTGTAGACTATGAATCTGAACTCTTCTATATTTTGTTGTAGTATCTGGTAACGTTACATATATAGATATAGAAGTCATTAAGTTTCTGTGTCATATTCTTGAGTATCCACCGTTTTCCCTGAACATAGAAGTTCCCTGTGATTCACACCGGAACCCCGTTTTGTTTTCTAATCAAAATATTTTACATTCACTTACTTTTCCCCCCACTTTGCTTTAGCTCATATTTAACTCTCCCTTGCACTACAAATGTTTCTGTCTCTCTGTGTACTTGTAGCTTCTGTTTTTCTTTAATCAAATGATGGCAAATCATCAACGATTGATGTGTTTATCTGTACATGATTTAACTTGTTTAACTATGGTTGCATTTACACTACCATGCATTCAGAAGTTTGGTGTCGGTAAGATTTTTAAACGTTTTTGAAATAGGTTTCTTATGCTCACCAAGGCTGCATTTATTTGATAACTGATCTTGTCTGTTTTGTGTTGTTCTCTTTCCCTTTAAACTCACACTAC